CCAGTTTTTCTTCACGCCCGCGTCGTACACTGATAGATTTGGCACATCTTAAACTCACTACTAGTTGGCAAATACGACAATACTGTCAATAGGCAATATTGCTTTATACCGACTTAATCTTTCCATTAAATTACCCGATACGCAAAAAATCTCACGTCACAAAATAGTTTGTAAATATTTCTGGGCAAATTATGAAACATATATACATGCAACGGTGAAGGATTGGATGCTTTATTGGCGAAACATTTTTAAAAATAAACATTTGATTTTTTAAATCAGGACAAATCTGTATTCGATTTACAAACATTGATAGTATTGATTAAACATTAATTATTTTTGTATTTTCCTTGTGGATTATTTATTAATGAGTGTTTTAATATAGCTACAGTTTATTCCAATTAAGATTGTCCTTCCAGTACATTAACGTGCTTAAGATGCACCAAATGTACGACGCCGACATGACATAAAAATTGTTGCTAACGTTTGGAATCCAGTTTTTTTTACTTCACTTATGTCTCTGACTTTGTTTACCAACTGAAAACCATAATTGTTCTCTGTGTAGTGAATTCACTTAATTCACTATTAAAACCTCAGCGCGCAAGGGTTGATGAGTTTTCACCTATTAGGCCCTTGAACCATTCTGTGCGTTCCACTCGAAAAGGTTTTCAAGGTTTTAATCTAAATATTAAATAGGCAATAATCAATCATCATTGCGCCCCCAGAGTTTAAGGTTTTTGAAAAGACAACATTAATGGTGATTGCCAGATAGTATATACTTCCAACTAAGGTTTCCGTTTTTATAACATAGAAAAAACTATCCTAACACAAAACTAAATCCTAATATACTAACCCAAATCGGGGTTATATTTACCACTATACCATATGACTACAATAGTTCATACCAGTTACGCCCCAAAATTACCCCAAAATAATAAATTTTTATAAAATAGCGATATTTTATTAAAATTGGGGTTATATTTACCACTATACCATATGACTACAATAGTTCATACCAGTTACGCCCCAAAATTACCCCAAAATAATAAAATTTTTATAAAATAGCGATATTTTATTAAAATCGGGGTTATATTTACCACTATACCATATGACTACAATAGTTCATACCAGTTACGCCCCAAAATTACCCCAAAATAAAATTTTTATAAAATAGCGATATTTTATTAAAATCGGGGTTATATTTACCACTATACCATATGACTACAATAGTACATACCAGTTACACCCCAAAATTAGCCCAAAATAATAAAATCTTTATAAAATAGCGATATTTTATTAAAATCGGGGTTATATTTACCACTATACCATATGACTACAATAGTTCATACCAGTTACGCCCCAAAATTACCCCAAAATAATAAAATTTTTATAAAATAGCGATATTTTATTAAAATCGGGGTTATATTTACCACTATACCATATGACTACAATAGTTCATACCAGTTACGCCCCAAAATTACCCTAAAATAATAAAATTTTTATAAAATAGCGATATTTTATTTGACGCTAATAACTAGTCAGCAAAGCCTCATACTTAATCATAATATATCAGTATTACCAGTATCTAGCTATTACAATTTCGCCCGCTACCGGTCGTTAGGGACGGATTCGCTTCCCAGTTATGATGCGAGTGGATCACTCTACCCCCATAAGCAGCCGAGGAATCACAGATACTTCCTCAATTAATTCGTACACTGAATATTGCAACTGGTTAACAGCTGCGTTCAATTACAACCAAGTGGTATAGATACGGTACTAACATGGGTATGACAGATAACAACAAACGGGAACGAGTGAGAACTTAACAACGTGGGAGGGGAGGGAACAACATGGGAACACAAAATAACAAATAATTTCTAATATTTTTATTTCTAATAATTTTTACAGTAACAAAATACACTACATCAAAACCCTTTATATTAGGAAATTTGAAAATAATGGGGTACAAAGTTACTTAATTTACGTAATTAAATTCTAAAATGTGAATCACATCACAGCAAATGCGTGTTTAGACCAAGGCTTCCAGTCCCCCGAGAAGATTTCTCCCGTATTAGCTGCTCAAAGGTAGGGGTATCATGGGGTGCCACCCACTCATTGTCGCTGGATTTAGTCTATTGTTCAATTCTCTTCCTGTGCCTCCTCATCTTTTCCCTCCTCAATTTCATCTTCGTCCTCCTCAATTTCATCCTCTTCCTCCTCAAACAAACGATCCACTTCACCAGTGAAATCCTCATCAAGAAGTAGCTCTTCAAATGTTCCTTCGGCAATGTGTTTGAAGACAATTGTACCTTCTTTCAACCGGGTTTTACTAAAATAAATACCCGCGTTCAAAAGAGCTCTTTGCCCATCTATTGCCTGTTGGTTGGATCGTGTCAGTTTGTATTTTCCCTATATAAAGCATGAAAACATTGAATGAAAGCAACTACATTTAAAAACCACGAATAACAACTACGACAACAACAACAACAACAACCTAAAAAGCAACGTGAAAAACTTAGAGAACAAACACAAAAACAAAAATAGATGAAGACCATAATTGATCATGAGAACGCCCAATCTTATGTTTCAATACCTCATCAGATTGTCCATTATCGGTCTCGCACAAGATGGAATCGTCATCTGGCAAGCAACCTTAACATTAAAAAAAATTAATAAAAACTCTCCTGGAAGTCCACACTTTTGCTGATAAGTACCTTCTTCTAACGAATTAAAACGTGAAGAAAGATCTGGAATGATTTTATCTCTGTAATAACAGAGAAATCGAACCATTTCCTGCTCCAGAAGTGAAATTTCTTCTTTGAGACGTTTACCAATCAGGAAAACCTCCACAGCCCTTCTCTTTGCCCGCAACGGGACTATACCTATAATAAAAAAACCGTTACTGGATATATTAATACAATTTTGTATATAATAATTAACATACTGTTAGTTGTTACTGACAGTAATCAATTAAGGTTATAACTAGTGCGGGCACTTTTGCAACAAGATAAAGGTCCAGACACACCTGACGCGATATGACAAACCGACGCAATTTGTTAAGTTTTTAAAGTAATGAAAGCAAATTTGAGAAGATATGTAGACAAAATAACTCAAAATGTTATAACACTATTAACTACAGTACATGATAAATTACCACTGCTATCTTCTTCGTTAATCCATGGAAAATGACCATTAACAGCCTGGGCAGAAGTAAGAACATCTTCAGTTTTACCAAGCATATTCTCTACCATATTTAGCTGCGCGATTAGATCTTCCAATTTCTTTCTTTCGCTCGTATTCTTACTGCGTAGCCTTGAACGCTGCTTAGAAGAATCTGCGAAAAAAACGTGATTTATAACTACCGTTAAGATATTAAGGACGTATTAATCAGTGGCCAGTTGTATAAAAACGTACTTAGCGCTAACTGCAGTTAAAAAGTAGTTAAATAGTGATTAAACTTCCAAATACGCGCTTCTTATTGGATGACATTTCCACTTAACTATAGTTAACTTTAATCACTTTTTTATACAACCGGCCGCTGCTCGACAAGTAATGAAAAAATCTCCTGAAAAAAAGTTAAAAATCGCACTGACTTTGTATCACGAAGGTGTCTCTTTCAAACTTATCATTCTTCCTGCAGAGATAGTAGAGTACAAAGACGCCCTATCCGTATAGATCATATTTGGTAAACACCGTATAACTAAAGGTCACGTTTCACTATTGTGAAACAACTAAAATGTTCATTATTACAAATCTAACCTGCTAATCGACCAATACTCTTCACTCTCTGGGAAATTGAAAAACTCATCATCTCGATATTTTCGCGAATTTCCTTGCGTTTCTGAGAAGCCAATAGTCGCTTTCCTCTTTCCAAAGCATCTGTTCGTTTCGTCTGACATCCACAAATATCCAAAAGAGATTCTAGTTTGGCCAACTGCTTTTTCTTGCGATCAATCTCCTCTTGCTTCTGCAGTGCTTTCTTGAACAGCTCACCATTCCCAGTGACAAGTGCAGCACTAACACCATCACGAGCTTCCTCCACGAACGGCTTCAGAGAAGTTGCTTCAGAAATCTCAATATTAAGCTGATAATATTGAACCAATTGATTTTCCTGTTTACTTAAAACGACTTCCCCAAACATACTACCTGTATTGCAAAGAAAACAACCTATAACACTGCATTTCTACAAAATACACCATTGGCAATGCAAGTCACATACGTTTTCCACATATGGCTATCGCTTCTTTCCAGGTTTCTAACTCCCCACTTTCTAGCTGATCGTGACAACCAATCGCGTTCATCTCGTTCTTCAATTCCTCTTCATTTGCTTCAATCATTCTTTTAATCTAATGATTGTCAGTAATAATAAAAAAGGAATTAAATGTAAAAATTGTAAAAAGCTGTAATGTTAACTAAAGATAACTCTACGTATTGTACCTCAATATATCTTTTGGACAGACTTATGTGAAGTTTCATAACTTTCTGTTTGTTCCAGTGCATGACATGTTCAGTTATAGTTTCGTCACGACCTACAAAATAAAATCATCTTAATCTCTCCAAAGTGTCACTCTAAGAAGAAAATTTCTTATGGAAAAAGAAACAACTCGAGATATCTACATTTGTAGAGCAAGAGATTTTACCTCCAGCATTCATATACTTTGTTGTTGACCCCAATCTCGATATGTAGCTGTTTATTTGCTCCACTTCTTCACCAGTCGTATATGCGCTCCCTTGCTGCCAACGTCCGCCCCATGTCACCTTAAAAAATACAATATTATTAATTGTTTACTTTATTAATAACGGCTACAGTAGTTTCCTTTTCGTATTTGCTCCAACATTCATGAGATGAAAAATGTTACAATTAAATTTAGGTTACTGTGCAGAATGTTTATTGCTCAATATTGTGCACTAATTACCTGACAAGACCAAATATGCGCTTTTCCATGCATAATAGAAAGTGCAGGTTTCATAAGGAAGGTATCTTGGGGAGAGAGTTCTTTGGGAAGTGACATAAACCATGGCCAATACTTGCACACAACATCCTGCCATAAGAACATGACACCTTGAGGAACCAATCTATTAATCTGCAAGTAATGTGTGTGTACCCAAATAATTCTCCTCGGTACATATTAAGAGCACTTTGTGCAAGGGCATGTCTGCAGCCAGCTACTACAAGCCCAGTTTCATCTAACTTTGATCGCACATTTGCAGTATTTCTGGCTGCTTTCCAATTTGATGTACCACAATACGAATTACTGGTGTTTTTCTGGAAGAGAAATGTCAAAAAAACTCAAACGTCTAGAACTGGTTAGCTTGTATTGACACAATGTGTTGTGATTATAATAAATACTGTGTAAGAAACATATACTGTAACATACCTTTGACGATGCTGATGCATAAACAATATCTAGATGAGCTTCAACAGCATCATATTCCTCCACAAAAACGTTACCGTAATAACATTTTCGCTCACCTCTGCAAAAATAGAAAGGTAGTAATCTTGAGTGTCTTGTAAATAAACTTAACAGACTAAATTTTTAAACTTGCATTATTAAAATATATACAGATCACTCAATATACAGGTCACAATGACATTTATTTCTGTCCCTGCATATTAATTGAATGTGTAAAGTCTAAGCATGCACACTTTCTTTGGGATAATGAAACACCAATTTTATAGTACAAGAGGGAAAATTGTGAAAATTAATATACAGTAATTGTACCTTGGAACACAACTATATCTGTATAGTTTCGCATTTCCATCAACATGACAGGAATGCTGGTTTTTATAGCAACAAGGACATTCCATCCAGTTTCTCCCTTTTAAAACATCAATCTCATGCATGGCAAAACACCATTCCTTAAATGCACGATGAAATACTGTGACATTGATAGTAGATGACTAGAACAAATTATAAAAAGATAAATTTACATTTAGTACTCAAATAATTTATTCAAGATACAAAGATAGAACTTATTGCAATATGTATACTAATGTTCTTGCAGAAGAAACATGAGATTGGCCCTATTCGAGTAGTTCCCCTTGTCTACTCTAAATCTAAGTTAAAAATATTTATCAACATGTCCATAATTATGCTCTTTCAATCTGCTTTCGTAGTACTGAAATTCTCCCCAATTTTACTAATAGACTTGTAATTTTCCAAATACCCCATCACTAGAACCCTGCAGTTTCTTCACTTTCTTGGATAAATCTGAATTACTTTGATTTTGCATTTTTCTACTTCTTTTCACAATAAAAGCTATCACTTCATTGGTAGCAATGTTTGTGTTCAACGCCATGATTAACATGCACAATTTCAATTTATTCAGAATAATTTCTCAAGAAAGTGAAACTTTCCATATAGTCAAATATAAAGCAGTTAAACATACCCTTCCATTGTTGCTTGAAAGATTGCCTAGGGATCTTATGAATGCTGATTCAGATGTTCCAGGCATGTGTTTTCTCACAGAATCCCAGAGCCGAAACAGATCTTGTGAGAATACATGATTGAAATGCTTTGGATTTCCAGGCCAATAACCCTCACTGATGATCTTTTCCAATGATAAAGGTGAATATGCCTTGTCACAGTTACCACAACGATACATACAAAGTGACAAGTCATATCGTCCTAATATTAAAAGAGAAAAAACAACACAAGCTAGATAATGAGTATAATTCAGACCTTGCCATTTGGGGTGAGCAATGTTCTTTTGCATATTTCCAGAATGAATTCAATAAATACACAACTTACCATCTATTGATGTCTATTGTCTTACTGTCAGTACTGCTATGGGTTAATTTATTAATTAAAAAATAGTCATTTAAAATTAGATATTTATTTTACCTCTAGAAGTCACAACAATGCAAGGTTCATCCAAGGGAACCAGAATCAGTGAGCCTTGTTTTTACACAGCAAGCATGCCTTACATAAAGCAAATGGTGCACATCTCTCTGTTGAGATAAATTGAACAAATAATTAAAATTCAGTCACAGATAGGGGCAAATTGCACACAGTACATTAAATCTACTTTTTAATATATACATGTACTGTTTGTACTTTCTAACAGATCTTAGAGGTGTTTACACTGCATAGTCAACCCACAGAAACATTAGGATGTTGTTCCTAGATGTTTCCACATTCCACTGCATTTTATTGTTTGGCACTGCCCTGACGTAAGTACAGTACCTCTAAGGTCTATTACAAATTCATCTTGGTAAGATCACCTGGCTTTAGACATACTAAAATGCTAAAGTTAACACATTGGGGCACCATGAATGTTAATCGTATTTACCATAGTCAATTGTTGAATCAAAATATAAATTAGATACCGGTAGCCAATTATTAAACTGCAATGTGCCCCAGGATGTCCTTCTTTTCTATTTTTTTCTCTGATAATTCAAAATTAATTTACAGTACTTATCTTGTTATTGTTGAGCAGTGAAGAAATAATTCTGTATACAATAATTCGATGTGACTTACTAACAAATCCCAAGGAACCATCTTCTGAAACAATTGTTGTAGGAGGTATTTCCTGAAAAAATCCATTCACCCACACATCACGGTCGTGCAAGGGATTTGTTTCATGAACCTTCTCATCACAGGCAGAACATAACAACACCCTTGGTCCACATTCATGGCATCTTACAACTGCACACCCTTCATTGCATAAAAAGCAGATGTTATCTGGTGAGGGTACAGCATGGCTTTTGAGTAGAGCATCAAATATTGCTGATCTGCTACTTTCCCAGTTTTCTTCTACCGACAACATTCTTTTTGTCCATTCCGACTGACTGCTTGACTTAATTTCTTCGCTTATTTGGCTGCATGTCTCTATGCAGTTACTGAGACTCTCTAACGTAAAATTATATAAAGTTAAGACCAGATAGATTGTATCACATCTACCACTTGTCGTTGTCACGACAACAAGCAAAACATGTAAATGCTAAATAGAAACCAAGCTTAAATACTTCTAACCTGTTGTTGTCGATCTGCTGCCCGTCATTTCTGCCATATATAATTCATCATCTGAATCCAACATGCCATATTCAGATTCAGTCATCAAGTCGCCTGGAAAGTCAAAGGAACACGATCGTCACATGTATAAAGCGCAGACACATTTCTACGAACGTTTAATAAATCCTGGTTACACTATAAAGACTATAAATCATGTTTAATTCACCTTCAATCTGACTAGATGCAGTACCTTGTTTTGAATGGCGTTCAGCCGGCGATCGATATTTATATTTGTTCCATGGAACCCTTTTACCAGAACCATCATATGTATTCAAAAACGTACTCAATTTTTTAGAACTAGATGTCTCTAAATTCTTGCCAACTCTGTGTAATTGTTCAAGACTTGCTTCCAAACTTTGTTTGTTTTTACGACGCTTTCCTCCCCATTTAGCAGTCGCCATATTGAAACGTGTTGTGTCGGTTGTATGTAATGTATGGTCCTGGGTTCTAGCTAGCGACTAACGTGCACCTAGCTTACCCATTATAGGTAATCTAAGAGCATTTGACAATTACCTATTATAGGTAATCTACGACTGAGGATGTGTTGCGGTATTTATCTGTTTTTGGAAGTCCTGTTGGTCGCGGTGCACAAAAACAGTCAAAAAAAATCGTTAGTGCGCATGCCCCGACGATTTTTCGTCGAAATATTGCTGCCAACCTCGGTATTTATCTGTTTTTGGCCGTCCCGTTGGCCGCGGTGCACAAAAGCAGTAAAAAAAAATCGTTAGTGCGCATGCGCGGACGATTTTTCGTCGAAATATTGCTGCCAACCTCGGTATTTATCTGTTTTTGGCCGTCCCGTTGGTTGCGGTGCACAAAAACAGTCAATATAATTTTTAGTGCGCATGCGCGGACGATTTTTCGTCGAAATATTGCTGCCAACCTCGGTATTTATCTGTTTTTGGGCGTCCCGTTGGTCGCGGTTCACAAAAACAGTCAAAAAAAAATTGTTAATGCACATGCGCGGACGATTTTTCGTCAAAATATTGCTGCCAACCTCGGCATTTATCAGTTTTTGGCCCTCCCGTTGGTCGCCGTACACAAAAACCGGCAAAAAAAATCGTTAGTGCGCATGCGCGGACGATTTTTTGTCGAAATATTGCTGCTAACCTCGGTATTTATCTGTTTTTTGGCGTCCCGTTAGTCGCGTTGCACAAAAACAGTCAAAAAAAATCGTTAATGCACATGCGCGGACGATTTTTCGTCAAAATATTGCTGCCAACCTCGGTATTTATCAGTTTTTGGCCCTCCCGTTGGTCGCCGTGCACAAAAACAGTCAAAAAAAATCGTTAGTGCGCATGCGCCGACGATTTTTCGTCGAAATATAGCTGCCAACCTCAGTATTTATCTGTTTTTGGGCGTCCTGTTGGTCGCGGTGCACAAAAGCAATAAAAAAATCGTTAGTGCGCATGCGCGGACGATTTTTCGTCGAAATATTGCTGCCAACCTCGGTATTTATCTGTTTTTGGGCGTCATGTTGGTCGCGGTGCACAAAAACAGTAAAAAAAATCGTTAATGCACATGCGCGGACGATTTTTCGTCAAAATATTGCTGCCAACCTCGGTATTTATCTGTTTTTGGCCATCCCGTTGGTCGCCGTGCACCAAAACAATCATAAAAAATCGTTAGTGCGCATGCGCCAACGATTTTTCGTCGAAATATTGCTGCCAACCTCGGTATTTATATGTTTTTGGCCGTCCCGTTGGTTGCGGTGCACAAAAACAGTCAATAAAATTTTTAGTGTGCATGCGCGGACGATTTTTCGTCGAAATATTGCTGACAACCTCTGTATTTATCTGTTTTTGGCCGTCCCGTTTGTCGCGGTGCACAAAAGCAGTAAAAAAAAATCGTTAGTGCGCATGCGCGGATGATTTTTCGTCGAAATATTGCTACCAACCTCGGTATTTATCTGTTTTTCGGCGTCCCGTTGGTCGCGGTGCACAAAAACAGTCAAAAAAATCGTTAGTGCGCATGCGCGGACGATTTTTCGTCAAAATATTGCTGACAACCTCGGTATTTATCTGTTTTTGGGTGTCCCGTTGGACGCGGTGCACAAAAACAGTAAAAAAAATCGTTAGTGCGCATGCACCGACGATTTTTCGTCGATATATTGCTGCCAAGCTCGGTATTTATCTGTTTTTGGGCGTCCCGTTGGTCGCGGTTCACAAAAACAGTAAAAAAAATCGTTAATGCACATGCGCGGACGATTTTTTGTCAAAATATTGCTGACAACCTCGGTATTTATCTGTTTTTGGGTGTCCCGTTGGACGCGGTGCACAAAAACAGTAAAAAAATTCGTTAGTGCTCATGCACCGACGATTTTTCGTCGAAATATTGCTGCCAACCTCGGTATTTATCTGTTTTTGGGCGTCCCGTTGGTCGCGGTTCACAAAAACAGTAAAAAAAAATCGTTAATGCACATGCGCGGACGATTTTTCGTAAAAATATTGCTGCCAACCTCGGTATTTATCAGTTTTTTGCCCTCCAGTTGGTCGCCGTGCACAAAAAAAGTAAAAAAAAATCGTTAGTGCGCATGCGCGGACGATTTTTCGTCGAAATATTGCTGTCAACCTCGGTATTTATCTGTTTTTGGGCGTCCTGTTGGTCGCGGTGCACAAAAACAGTAAAAAAAATCGTTAGTGCGCATGCGCGGACGATTTTTCGTCAAAATATTGCTGACAACCTCTGTGTTTATCTGTTTTTGGCCGTCCCGTTTGTCGCGGTGCACAAAAGCAGTAAAAAAAAATCGTTAGTGCGCATGCGCGGATGATTTTTCGTCGAAATATTGCTACCAACCTCGGTATTTATCTGTTTTTCGGCGTCCCGTTGGTCGCGGTGCACAAAAACAGTCAAAAAAATCGTTAGTGCGCATGCGCGGACGATTTTTCGTCGAAATATTGCTGCCAACCTCGGTATTTATCTGTTTTGGGCGTCCCGTTGGTCGCGGTGCACAAAAACAGTCAAAAAAAATCGTTAGTGCGCATGCGGGGACGATTTTTCGTCGAAATATTGCTGCCAACCTCGGTATTTATCTGTTTTTGCCGTCCCGTTGGTCGCGGTGCACAAAAACAGTCAATAAAATTTTTAGTGCGCATGTGCGGACGATTTTTCGTCAAAATATTGCTGACAACCTCTGTATTTATCTGTTTTTTGCCATCCCGTTGGTAGCGGTGCACAAAAGCAATAAAAAAAATCGTTAGTGCGCATGCGCAGACGATTTTTCGTCGAAATTTTGCTGCCAACCTCGGTATTTATCTGTTTTTGGAAGTCCTGTTGGTCGCGGTGCACAAAAAAAGTCAAAAAAAATCGTTAGTGCGCATGCCCCGACGATTTTTCGTCGAAATATTGCTGCCAACCTCGGTATTTATCTGTTTTTGGCCGTCCCGTTGGTCGCGGTGCACATAAGCAGTAAAAAAAAATCGTTAGTGCGCATGCGCGGACGATTTTTCGTCGAAATATTGCTGCCAACCTCGGTATTTATCTGTTTTTTGCCGTCCCGTTGGTCGCGGTGCACATAAACAGTCAAAAAAAATCATTAGTGCGCATGCACCGACGATTTTTCGTCGAAATATTGCTGCCAACCTCGGTATTTATCTGTTTTTGGCCGTCCCGTTGGTCGCGGTGCAAAAGCAGTAAAAAAAAATCGTTAGTGCGCATGCGCGGACGATTTTTCGTCGAAATATTGCTTCCAACCTCGGTATTTATCTGTTTTTTGCCGTCCCGTTAGTCGCGGTGCACAAAAACAGTAAAAAAAAATCGTTAGTGCGCATGCGCGGACGATTTTTCGTCGAAATATTGCTGCCAACCTCGCTATTTATCTGTTTTTGGGCGTCCCGTTGGTCGCAGTGCACAAAAACAGTCAAAAAAATCGTTAATGCACATGCGCGGACGATTTTTCGTCAAAATATTGCTGACAACCTCTGTATTTATCTGTTTTTGGCCATCCCGTTGGTAGCGGTGCACAAAAGCAGTAAAAAAAATCGTTAGTGCGCATGCGCAGACGATTTTTGTCGAAATATTTTTGCCAACCTCGGTGTTTATCTGTTTTTTGGTGTCCCGTTGGTTGCAGTGCACAAAAACAGTCAAAAAAATTGTTAGTGCGCATGCGCGGACGATTTTTCGTCGAAATATTGCTGCCAACCTCGGTATTTATCTGTTTTTGCCGTCCCGTTGGTCGCGGTGCACAAAAACAGTCAAAAAAATCGTTAAAGGAAAATGGCAATATATTTTTTTTCTTGCTCATCTGAAAGAGGACTTACAGAGATGTTTTAAAAATGTCAATTGCCTTCATCAGTTTTGAACGTTCATGAGTAAATGCAGATGTAATTTTCGGTACTTCGAATGTTTGCCCGCCATTTTGAATCATATTTGAACAAAATTATAATTCTTTCGTAATGTCCATGTGACGTCACAACCTGGGTTGTGTTGCTGCTATAGTTTCTTCAACAATGGCAACTGCGAAAGGCAACGAAGAAGATGAATGTAAAGTTATTAATAATGAACAAATACAACCCTATTTGTTTGAGCCAACTGTTAAGGAGGATCAAGAAGAAGCCAGTGATAACTCATCTGACGACTCAGCTTCGATTGAGGATAATTTCGACGAAGAATTTGAAACAGCAAATAGATGGCGTCTGTCTTCCCTTCAGTGGTGTAAATGTGGCAATTGTACACTCATGGAAAAAACAATTGAAAGTTTCTGTTGCCACGAGAAGGCTGTAGAATACGATGAATACGATGGTATTCTAACTGATGCACAGAATCGAGGGTTGTTTCTGTCATCAAGTTCATCTCAAATTCTTCGTTCGTCTCTATACTGGAGGAGAATTGGCCGGTTGACGATGATGAGTTAGAACAAACACAAATATTTCTCATGCGGCGTATAGAGATGCTTGGGTCACATTTAGGAAAAATCGTAGAGTTTTCCCTTCATGTGTGTATCTTGTAATTAGAATACTTTTGCGTCACCAATAAACTACTCATTTAAATTTGCGAAATAACGAAAACCATTTCATCGAATTATTCTGTATTATCAGAAAAACAGCACTATTAAAATATATCTATTTGTTTGAACACTTCTGTACCTTACATTTTCGTGTGTCTCTTGTCAACTAATTTACATGGGCATCTACCGTAGCACATTTGCCTGAGCATTTACATGTGGTTCCATCGTCAGCAATTGGATAGGCTGGTTTGTGAATCTGCTGTATTGAAACAACTGTTTCTTTGCATTCTGGTTGTTTGCCATCAAGATAATTTTGAACTAGTGATTTTGGCTCTTCAGGCATCTTTTTTGCATGCTCACATGCTTTCTTTAGTGTTGGATAGTTCATCCTCAGCTTGAGAGTTTCCTGCTGGATTGCTTGTATATATTCTAAATTTTAAAATTGGATTGTATACAGTGTTACAAAAAAACCTAACAAATAAGAATAATGCATCTTAATTAACCCATGCATCAAGGGCCATGACATGCACTTTACATGCTAAAGCCTAAAGGTGCATGACTACATGTTTTAAAATGTTTCCTAATGCCAATTAATGTAAATATCATCCATTAAGTCATATAGCTGTCAGGTAAATAATTAACATATTCTTAAAACTAACTGTGTGTTGTATCTTCTTTAATTTTTCGAGCAATTGCTTTTTCACCCATATGTGCCTTAGGATATATGACAACCCATCGGGGGGCTCCTTCTTTTGTCTCTGCTTGTTTCCGTTGTGAATTTTCATTAAAATGTAGGTTTGAGCAAAATATCCTATACAACAAATGGAATATTTATTTTCTTGTCAGGTGCATAGAGAGTTATATAGAAAAGCATTTGAAAATACAAAAAACAAAAAACATATTGAACCATACAGTATGTAGACTACTCTTCATTTAATGTTATAAACACCCTTACTTTATGACAAAGGGCTGGCTGCCTGCCTCTTTGAAATGTCAAAGTTATGTGATTGTATATCAGTAGTTTGTACTTAGTAACAGGGACTAAGTTAGATTTATACCTCAGACTGTTATTATCCCCTAGTATAATCATCATAATAATTGTCAGAAAATCTCAAACCTTGCCATCAATGAATGGTATGGGTAGTAGGTATTCTTGGATGCAAATTGGTTGTCAAGAGCATGCTTTGCTTCTAGGGATGAGGTTTGATGAGAGCCTGACAGCTTTCGAATTGCAGATAATAATCTTGGTCTTGTTAAGATTTCTTTAAGCTTCTTATAAGCTGCTGAACCTGAAAAAATGAATAGGAACATTATAACATACTTTAAAGCTTATTTCTGTAAATGCATTTTACAATTTCACTTGTAGCAACCATTCTACCTGGTTTCAACCAAGCTCGATCCACTTCCTCATGTGTGCATTTTTTAAAAATCTTGTTTTCTTCATGCACATGAATATCCACTATGTGATTCAACAAGCTTAACCACTTTTCCACTCTCTCATCTTCATTTGCAGTTGACAAAGCCACCCAGTATATATGATTTATAATAGACTAGGAAAAGTGTATTAAAGATGCTTTTTTATTTCAATAGCTACAACTGCAACTTTAGTTATTCAATAACTGCAACCTTGTGTTATAATGTAACAAAAATGTCTTATAGTTACCCCAATCCAGGGTTTAATGGCTTTAAATTTTTTTGTCTTCACAGCTTTGAGCAACTTTTTCTTTTCACCTATGAAATACAGTTTGTAATTAAAGTTAGAATCTTCACTTGTGTAATTTATAATATATATCACTACGTGTCACTTCGCAAACTTTGCCCCATGAAAATGGCAGAAGAGGTTGTAAATCATTCCCCAAGTAATAAGTGACTAATTTGAAAGAAACAAACCTTTAGCTAAATGCCAGACGTCGTAATTGTGTTCAATATCTGGCTTTTCTTCCGCCATGTAGGACGCTACTTGGCCATGCCTGTCTGTCACCACTTTCTTCACAACCACATTTGCTTCTTCGAGGTAAAGAAGTTGCCTTTTTAGAGATTCTAATTCCATTCCATTAGAGTTTTTTACTTCTGTGCTCTATAATATACAATTATTAAATATATATATCGGAATAAGTCTGCCTTAAACGGGATGACGGGCATTTTCAACGAAAAGGCCCATTAGGATTTATAAAAGAGGTGCTATATTACAACAGAACAACCGTAATAGACGCAGCAATGTTAAAAACGAACAATGTTAATGGGTCTTTTTATCAAGAATGTAGTACCTTAATTATTTGAGTATCGAGAATGACATTTCTATTTGATCAAGACTGCTTCCAGCTCCAAGGAGCCCACTGTGTCCAGGGCTATCCACTCTCATATCCGACGCAATTTCAATCGATTTTCCATCAATCTCGGACAACAGTTTCCGTTGCTCTGTTCTCCAAACACTGACTACAGCCGGTATAACATAGGCACCTTGGACATTTGAAAACTCGCGTCTCTTAAAACACAAAATCTTTAGCGATTCCATGAATCTCAACGTCTTGTTGCACTCCATGCCTGTGCTCAATATTGTTGACGCCATAAGTAAATTCATCGCTGGCAATCGATTCAGAAGAGGGCCTGTTGACCAGGTTATTTCATGGTTTGCTGATGAACAGCATGATATGTAGATAGTGCAATAACTTCCAATTGTGTTCCCAACAGAAACAGTGCAACGACTTCCGCATTTAAAGCAAACACTGAACATAGTCGCAATTGATTCCTCGCATATAATCAGTTTTAGCTGATCTTGAATGGGTTTGTCACTTGTAAGAATGACCGAATCGCATGTCTTTGTATCTTCGATATGTTCTTCATCAGATTCGCTTTCTTCGCCAGATGTGGGTAAAAACTCTTCGTCACAACTATCGTCGCCTGCATCATTTTCGTCGTGGTCATCTTTAACGTGGTCTGAATTTTCAATATTATTCTTGTCCAAATCCACAGTCACAGCCAATTTCTTATCGTTCAAGCTATGTCCATCGTCTTCCACTTTCCTGATTTCTTCACTTACAATTGCATTACTACTGTCACATTCTATTGGATCCGTTTGTGAGGATGTTGAAGCTTTCTTGAGCGACTCGAGTCTTGTAAAAAATTCATTGCTGACGAAGGTTTGTGTTCCTTTTGTCACGCATGTTAATTTTGTTCCTTCAAGCTTCCTACTTGTCTGGGTACCCGCATTTTTACCAACGTATTCTAGACGGATAGTTTGAACAGATACTGACGAGTGTTTTTTTAACTCCCTCGCCTCTGGTTGGCATGTCTCACTGGCACTGGCGCTAACACTGCTTTCAAGTATGGTTCCTTCTGATTCACCCTCGTCTGCTTTTCCCGCAAAACTTTCAGCATGAGCGATCAACTCATCTACCTCCTTGAAAAAAGAAACAAACAAATTAATATTAGTTCAAAGAAAATAATAAAAGAGAACAGGTTTAATAAGATTTTCTAAATTACCTTTCTTCTTGAAAGGATACCTGTCGACCTCTTCTTTTTTGCTGATGCCTCTTCTTTATTGGTGTCAGAATCAAGTGCTTTTCTTATAGTTGGCACAGCGTCGGGTTTGAGAATTAACTTACGTTTTCCAAAAAAATTTATCGACTTTAAAAAATCGGGAGAATGTGATGGAACATAGGAGTCAGTAGCGAAGTGTAAGGAACACATGCAAGTGCATTTCGATGGACGGAAGTTTTTTCGCTTGCAAAAGTCGATCCAGATATTTCGCCTTCTCTGCTCTTCTTTATTTGACGCTTTCGGAAATGAAAAATAATGTATATTGTTTTCTTTGTTCTTTTTGTAATCGCTTGTGCAACCGTAAACCGGGCAATACATTCTGGCGCAGTAAAAGTAAATAGAAATTTATATTTCGCGCCAAGATGTTTAGATCAACCCAGGTTATGACGTCACACATGTTAAGCGTGCATAAATTAGCATAGAGAAATATAAATCAAGATGGCGGACGAAAGAGAACACTCGGGTATAAACAAACGCTCGTTTCTTTTGACAAAGCTTCTTTATCGACATAATACTAATCACGCTTGATTATTTAAAAGGTAAACTTTAATATTATGCAGAAAAAAAATATATTGCCATTTTCCTTAATAGTATGGTTGTTGATCTCAATAGTTATTGGGTCAAGATCTGAAAATTTGGGTTGGGAGAATATTTTCATAATTTTAGTCTTTTTCGAATTGAGGGACATTTTGTTTTGAGTAGTCCAATGTGACACTGAAGTAACGTCCGACTTTAGGGAGTCACTAAGTTCGTGGACATTAGTTCCGGAAGAAATAATAGTAGAGTCATCCGCAAACAAAAAGGGCTTGGACTTGTTGATATAGATGGGTAAATCATTAATAAAAACCAGAAAGAGAATTGGGCCTAGAATAGAGCCTTGGGGCACGCCAGATTTTATCATTGCAGGATTTGATAGGGATGATGAGATTTGTACTTGTTGATAGCGGTCATTTAGGAACGATTTGAACCATCTTAACGCCAAGGGTGTAATTCCATATTGTTCTAGTTTCTGTAATAATATGTCATGGTCGACTAAGTCGAATGCTTTGGAGAAAGCAAACTTCGAAATAAAGAGAAACCTTTCTTAGAACGATCAACCTTTGCAGCTCTTCGAGCACGGAAATCAATTGCAAGTCTGATCGCCTGTATTTCAAGAGCTCACTCACAATAATCGAGAATGGTATAGAAATTTTGTTATTACTGAGGTAAAACACTGAAAATCAGTCTTGGTCGTATTCGACTGAAAACACCGGCACATATAGAAACGTAATCAACGAGAACACTGAGATCTCCAACTCAATGGGCTTGAGTTTGAGTGAACTTTTAGAATACAGGCGTATGTCTTTCAATAAATAAATTGTTCGTTGTATTTGTAGCTGTCACGAAGCACTCACAAGTATAAACACTTCTCTTCAATACATTAAGCAATTTAATCTCTTCACAAATCGCAAACACAACAACGCAATATCCCAAAACTTCCATATACGATCTCCAAACATTGTTATGCTTCCTATCACGTGACTCTCAGACCTCAACTATTTTCAATATTTCAAAAGGCACATCTTTATACAGCTCCTGTCATGACGCTGTTCCCTTAAATCGCAATATCCCTAGCTTTGATTACAATTTTGTATTGTTGTTCACTGTAGCTATCTCTTTTATATTGGGTATGTTGGTGGAAGAAAGGTAATAATGCGACTAAACTTGGCTACCAACAAGGAAAAACAAATATATGGGATCAACAGAAACTATCTGCTTCTGGATTACAACAGGAAGCGAGTTTACGCGTACGACGGATTGGCAACAGTTAATATCATAATTGAAATGGATTACGATGGCCGTAACAGCAATCAGACAACTAATTATGGTTCAGCTGTTCTTAGAGGAAGTATGTCTGTGGACGTTAATGGAAATTTTCTTTACTGGAAAGAAAGAATTTCACCCATTGTCATAAAAATGAATGTAACCAGCAGAGAAATATCCCGTTATATTCCGTTACCAAAAGGCTTCCAGGCGAGAAATCTTCTTATCGTTGACAAAGATCGACAACCTGAAGGTAAGTTTATACATTCAGGTAAATGGTAGTGTGAGGTTGACTTTTTGAATTCGCTTTTTGGTAAAGAAACTACCAAACAGAAATTAGAATAAATCTTTCGTCGAAAAAATTATTTCCTCGCTGTCAAACAAGCAGCATTTTGCAGTTTCATATTATAGATATATTAATTGAAAACCCCTTAATTTGTTTTGGTTTTCATTTATATGCACAGATATCCGACAATTTAGATTCATTATAATAAATCTGAGCCATACCCCTTGTCCAAGGCAAAGCATCTGACAATGCAGTTGTTATGATACAATCAAGATATGGCTTGCGATGTTGTTGTTTGCCCTTTTGAACATTACAGAAAATTATGTTGTTACGCAAGGCTTCATAGTGATTGAGATACGCATATAAAAATAGCCATAAAAATAGAAGTAGCAAGAGCATGACAGGGATTAGTGATTAAGTTTTGCCACAAGATGCCTGAGTAAATATAATTTCGGCCCATTCGCAACCATTAATCACATTTCCTTTCATGCATAACATTTCGTGGGATTGAATTAAGTAGTAAGGTGAAAATATCAATCATCCTGTCAAAACGTGTGAATCTGGATCAACAATCGTATGTCGTTGCCAAGTTTAACTGTCATAATTGAAAATATGCATGCTCGAGGCAGCTGCGAAGCTCTTATGTCAATCAAATGTGTTTTTTATAATGCGCGGTCGAGCATTTTAAGAGTTACGTCACAAGAAACTTAAGTCGATTAAAAGTTGTAGTAAATGTCGTTAAGTTATAAAATAAGGTTCACAGAAACAATGTTTGATAGTTTTAATGCATGTTGATGATAAATATTTTAAGTTGTGAACAAGTTTTAGTATTGATCGATTAAGCGAAAGACCAACTCGACCACTGCGTCAACGCCTTAAATAAACAAAATATGAGAACTGGAGCGAGCTTCTAAGACCAACCCACTGATTACATGTACAACGCTGATTGGCTGGATAAGGATCAGCCCACTATGGTTGATGACGTATGCAAGAGTCACTGAACCCTCATTATAAAAGGGCGTGCACAACACCCCAACCTTCAGTGGACTAGCGGAGTAAAGATTAAGTTATGAAACGCTAGAAAACTCAACGACAGAACCAATGAAGAAGACAAGAACATTTAACGACGATCAAGATCGAAGATAGAAAAAGAAGAGAAGATTAGCGAACTTTAGTTAAAACCATTGTAACGATCCACTACCTCGCGTAGAAATAAAAACCTTATAACAACTTGGTGGAGGAACGGCTCTAAAAAAACCTCGCCTATGTACTATAGTAACAACGGGTGCTGAAGCGACCTGATGACTGGTTCGAAGGAAACGCCCGCTCTGTATGCATCAATACTTCTACTTATGGCAATGCTAGACTTTGTTTCATTTTTTGGTTGTCTCTTTAAGACAACTGTCCACAACCTCTACACTTCCGATGAACTACCATTGAAACTACAGTCGTTTGGCCCTCAGTCAGCAGTCCAAGACGAGTTTGATGACATGTACTCCCTCTATCTGAACGTGTTGGCTATGCCAGAAATCCAGCTAAAGACGCATCAGTGGAAGCCTCCGTGGTCGTTGAAATATGATTATTGAGACGTACGAAAGTTTCAGAGTTTTCCGGATCCTTCCTGATGGTCAGAACGCTTGTATTATGGACATGAAACTGGACGCATTTTAAGATTTGTATAGTATAAGTTTTTGTCATTCTCATGTTACACGTATATGTTTATCATTTGTTTGTTTATGTGCGATAATATTAAACACGAGAGTATATAGCTGTTCAACTAAAATTCCTTAGGTACACTCAGCATGCTGATTAAACATGTTGCCGTAGGATAGCGCATGCATGTTTTTAATTGGGTCAGTATATAAATTTAATTCTGACGCTTTTAGTTATGCGTCATTCGTGATAATATATTTTTCTCTTCCCCCGGGACAGTCAAGGGTCTCCCAAACTTGTTGTAATGGATTATAATTCTTTTTCAAGCCAAAAGCTTAAATATTAGACACATTCTTGTTTTCTCTATGTAGACTCGGTATTTATATTTTCGATGAAAACCTACATTTTGGAGTTTGGTTTGCTGTGCGTGACGATTAAAAATAAATGAAATGAGTTCAGTAATATTAAGAAGTATACGTAAAAAATTTGTTTGCATAAGTTGAAATATTTTGAAGAATTATTAAGACGTATATATAGGTTTAGGTTATTATTATGGAGAGATGTTTTGTCGGAAGAGCTTTATAATAATTTCCTGTTATGTGAGTTGATCAACCAAGAATCTGAATACAATTTTCGCTGTTGCAATGATAAGATATTTTATGAAATTTGAATAATTTTTGGTACACTTTCTGACTGCATCTACAAAATTTATAATTTCGCTTAAGTCCCTGGTACATACATTCAGGAAAACAGGAATTTTTTACACCTTGTTTTCACACTAATTTTGGTTTAATATTGCTATATTCTGACGTGTTTAATATATGACATTATCATAGCTAGATTACCCCTGAGGTACATATAGGCATAAGTAAATTATATTCAGATCAGTTGTATCTCGTATAATCGATTAGGTAGTGTTGTCGTAGAATAACAACACGTATTATGTGTATAGTCTCAGTTACTAGGTATTTGGTAATATGCCCGTGATAGCCACGCCGAGCTCAAAAGAAAATTAAAATAGTTGGGAAATTGTAGACACATATATGTATGGTATATAGTTAACTTAAGTTCGTTATAGCTCACACGAAGCTGGGGACAGCTTATTCTAGGTGAGGAGGATTGTTACGCAAGGCTTCATAGTGATTGAGATACGCATATAAAAATAGCCATAAAAATAGAAGTAGCAAGAGCATGACAGGGATTAGTGATTAAGTTTTGCCACAAGATGCCTGAGTAAATATAATTTCGGCCCATTCGCAACCATTAATCACATTTCCTTTCATGCATAACATTTCGTGGGATTGAATTAAGTAGTAAGGTGAAAATATCAATCATCCTGTCAAAACGTGTGCATCTGGATCAACAATCGTATGTCGTTGCCAAGTTTAACTGTCATAATTGAAAATATGCATGCTCGAGGCAGCTGCGAAGCTCTTATGTCAATCAAATGTGTTTTTATAATGCGCGGTCGAGCATTTTAAGAGTTACGTCACAAGAAACTTAAGTCGATTAAAAGTTGTAGTAAATGTAGTTACGTTATAAAATAAGGTTCACAGAAACAATGTTTGATAGTTTTAATGCATGTTGATGATAAATATTTTAAGTTGTGAACAAGTTTTAGTATTGATCGATTAAGCGAAAGACCAACTCGACCACTGCGTCAACGCCTTAAATAAACAAAATATGAGAACTGGAGCGAGCTTCTAAGACCAACCCACTGATTACATGTACAACGCTGATTGGCTGGATAAGGATCAGCCCACTATGGTTGATGACGTATGCAAGAGTCACTGAACCCTCATTATAAAAGG